CGCGGGCTACATCGACGGCCCCACTCGGCTACATCGACTGTATCGACGACCTGCCTACGAATCCGGCAAGGTGGTGTGTTTGTAAAAAGTCTGCGAATCCGGCAAGGTGCGCGGGTGCTATCATGCCTGGCCCGCCATTGACTACCGAGTGCTAAACCTGAGTTCGACTCTGAAGCAGTCATCAGACACGAAAGTGCCTCCAAGAGAACAGAGCCGCTTGCCGTCACCATTAGTTACCTCGAACGTACTGGGAATGTTCATGTGCTTGGTTTCATAAAGAGCGTACGCGGCCCCACGGGCAGTTTCTCTTTCTGCTTCGCTGACTTTGGAGACGGTGTCCTTCATTCCTTTGGACCACGCTATCTGGCCTATGCTTAGAATTGCGTCTGGCTGCACGAGTTCATCAGCCGGGGCTGCCGCGACCCCAAAGACCGAGGGGCTCCATGCAGCTAAAAAGAAGTCTTCTAAGTCCTGATCGTCGCGGACAAGCAGCGTCATCCGGGTGTGTGGGGCACGAATGCATAACACCGCGAGAGCCGCTTCCGCCGATTGCTGTGAGTTTTCTTCGCTTCGAACCGCACGTACCATCGGAAAATAAAAATCAAATTTCGACCAACGGCGGGTGACTTGACCAACGACGGGTGACTTGACCAACGACGGGTGACTTGACCAACAACGGGTGACTTGACCAGCGACGGGTGACTTGATTAGCGGTGTTGACGGCTGCTGGCTAGCTTGCCAAGTAAGTGTCAACAGAGAGAGGTGTACTGTGTCGTATGAACGCCGCCCCGCGTTCCCGCGCGCACGACGTCGCCAGACAACACGGTTGCCCGCACACAAAACGAACAGACGATTTTCATAAAAGACAGATCCGATATTCACGCCTCCCTCTACGATGTCACAGCCCACGAGCCCTTCACCGAGTAGCCACGAGCCCCACACACAAACCATGTACATATTCGGGCTTCACTCCTGAACAGCGGTGACAACTCCCAGACAGGAAAAAGTTTGTGGTCTGCAGATTACAATTTGTGGGTACGTTTTGGTAAGTTTTTCTCTATTTGAGCTCCTCCGGCGAGAGCATCGTCTCGGTGAGTTATTGAGAAGTTGTTCTCCTGCCTGGGAACAGCTTCTCTTGCACTTGACTCAAAGAGGTCAGAAGTGGAATTCATCTCGTCGAAAAATATCTGTGCGCGTGTTTGTACACACACTTTTGTGCGCGCACCGTGAGTCACCCAAATCGCCGCTCGGCTCTCTGCCTCAGAAATCACCAATAAGTGACTCGGGGACACTTCTCACCTAATACCTCACCATAAATAACCTGCTTGAAAGAAGCTTCGCTTGAGTGAAGTTTTAATTAGGATCAAAGTGAAATTGCACCGAGCAGCATTGCTGGTCAACCGAGTTGTATTCAGCTGTAATGAAACGTAGCTTCTTGCCGTCACCGTTAGTTATCCCGTTATTGGGTAATTGAACACGTCCGCTACAGTTGAGTTGGTACACCCACTCCGCAACATCAATTCTTTGCTCTTCGCTCATTTTGGTAGCAACTTGCTGTATTACGGGGGACTCCGCTAGACGACCGAGATCCAGAAACGCGACGGACGTCATGGGTCCAAAAGGCGGGATTAACTTCACGGCCTCGGGGCTCTGACCAACTAAAAGCAGGTCCTGCAAAAGCTTGTCGTCGGTCACCTGCATCTCCATCCAGGTGTGCGGCGCCTCAATACGTAACACCGCGAGGGCCACATTCACCGATTGCGCTGACTTCACCTCGCTTCGAACCATACGCGCCATTGGAAGGAAAAAAATCTCGTGTTCGAATTTCAATCGCCGAATCCGACCTGCAATCACCAGTTCCGGCAACCCGTAAACTCTGGGGACCCAATCACTGGAACGTCCTGCCTAACTGGAACGTCCTCCTACTTGTAGCCCACTCCGTCAAGTAGCCCACTCCGTCAAGTACGTCGGCCGTAAGGTCAGTAAAAGGCACGCGATGCCTTTTACTGGCACTGGGTCAGGCACGAGAAGAAGGTGTCAAATGCCGCCGCGCCCACCTCAACTACGATACAGATCGATCGGGTCACATGACAGGATCTTGTTCGGCAGGTTCGGTCAGTCTGGTTTACTTCCTTTGTTTCCCCCAGGAAAAATATTTTTTGACATGATTCGAAACACGAGAGATGCCAGCCGCTGCCTGAGAGGCACTTCGAGAGAAGTCATCGGATACATCTGAGAAGAACTCCGCGCTTTTGTGGGCTGGCGAGGGCCGCGTTTTTGGAGCAACAAACCCGCCACTTCCTTGAAAGTGGAGGTCTACCAAGAATTCATTAAACTCCCCCCTCTTGATTGTCATGGAGCTTAGCGCAATACCCTCACTGTTACGTATGTCGCCCGGGTGTATCTGACAGAATCCATCGATACCTGCGCACTCCCGGCGCACACCTTCCTTATTGCCCGTTTTAGAAGCGAGCTCTATGACGTTGGTGGTTCGCAATATGTCATGGACCCATGGAACATCATCACGCTCTTCTGAACACATCATCTCAGGCGTGACAGATGTAAAGCGGCTGCTCCGACCAGCCAAGATCAGGGTCTCCAACTCGGAGTTTGTAAATAACTGCATTCGCATGTGCGTGTGCGGTGCTTCAATAGAGAAAACTGCGAGTGCCACTGCGCTCACAACCTGCACACTCTCCTGCTCGCTTCGAACCCCTCTAGTCATAACACCCCAAAAAAAATATTCGAATGCCCCGCTTGTTACACAGAACTCAAACAACTACACAGAACTCAAACAACCAATCAAAGACCGACCGCTCCCTCCAGTTCTCACCATCGCTACCTCCAGTTCTCACCACCGGTTCAGTAGGTCGTCCGGTAATATAACCAATTTGGTACAATCCAGGTCTCTTCTCGCAGTTATGGGCTCTAATGTTCATAACGACAACACCATACAATGTAATTGCTTGTCTGTCAGCGCTCGGTAAGCTTTGTTAACAACAGCGAATCATCCACCAAATAAGAAGGTATGGTCAACTGTTAACAGAGCGACCTTCGTCTTCACGCCATGGTTAATGCTTGGCGCATTGGAACTGAAGCAAGAGAGAAACTATAGAAATAGATCCATCGAGCACAGTTGCACTTAACTTTTAAAAAAAAAACACGCGGCTTTGAGACACCACAAAATCGCGGGGGCTAGACACAGTTTTTTTCTGGGTGAGTGTCTGACGGTGCGAACCATTGTCTGTTGGTCTCTTCCACTCGTTTCTTGTCGCAGGGTTCGAGGCCTACGGCTAAAACTGATACGGGGGGCAGAATAAAAATAAGCCGCGGTCAGGTTGAAAAGGTTATTTGCAGGATGATGGTGTTGTTTTGGCCGATGAGATCATATCCGTCAATCCCTTCATTTTGCAATCTCAGCGTACCAAGAAGGGCCCTGTGCACATCCATCGCGGCTACGCTTCGTGGCGTGGTGTCTAGCATTGCGTTCGATTCCTGGACTCCATTTGATACCGTTCCGCTCAGTGACATACCCTTTGGCCGTGTTAATGTTTCCTCGTCAAAGGCAGGAAAGATTCGTGAGAAGGAGGCGAGGTTGTTGGGTAAAATTACCACTTCATCCCCTCCTTCCGTCATCCACTGATGAATCCAATGGGTGTTAACTTGTGTCCGTATCATCCACTTGACTCCGAGCATTCTGATCATGAGATCTTGACTGGCATGGCAGGCTTCCAGCTGCGTTTCCCAGGTAATCAAATTTAAGCTTTTTTTCATGAGGGTGTTATTCATCCCCAACACGTGAGCAGACACGTTGCTTCGCGAAAGGGTGTGGGAGGGTCGAGAGGACTGTAGCGTATTCTCATCTGTCCACACCTCCAACGTTGGGTGTTCGTCTCCAAACATCTCTGTGGCGCTGCGTCCACAGGTCTTTATAGACAGGTGTATTCGAGTGATTCGCATTCCATTGTTATGAATTCCATTATTATGAATGGACGAGGTACCAGACGGGGTCGTGTCCACCAAGGCAGAGGCGGTTCTCAATCTCCTGAGTGCCTTTTCCATTATATCTGCCGTCAGCTTTGGGTGCGTAGGACCTGGAAGTTCCGGGACACCAGTCTTTTGTAACTCAGCTTGGGGAGGAGCGGCTGCGTAGAAGAGTTGATTCAAGAAGGCGAGTGCGAGCATCTGACTAGTGAAGAGTGTCTGCAAAGAAAACCCGGGCTTTGGATGGGTCAATGTGTTGACAAAGGATGCCTGGGGTGACGTCGGGTTGCGGAGTTGCTGTACCAAGCCTTCGCAGTGACTCAGGAACGCCGGATCCACGCCTATTCCGTTGCCGCAAGTCGGACGACACAACAGTCGAAACGCAAGGTAGACGAACAACTCTCGCGAAGCCGCACCCTCCGAACACACCACCACCTTCCCCCGCCGCCGCTTCAGTCTCCACTCAGTCATACCGCCTAATAAAATCAACAACGACCGAACTTGCATCGCCGGGAATCGACCCCGCGGTTGCTGGACTAAAATCGTGCACTTCTGCAACACCGGAATATCCGGAACCTCCGCCGAGCCCAAAACGACCACCAACACCCGCAATTTCTCCTCATCTATTCCCCCTGCCGTACAGGTCCCTGACGTAGCCACGATATGCACTGGCTCCGGGGAAACACTCTGGTCCTCCGTCCCTCCCCCGCTACCACCCGGGACCGCCTCTTTGGCCGGGCCCGGCTCTTCGGCCTGGCCCGTATCAACTTCGACCTCGACCGTATCAACTTCGAAACGCGCATCTGGTATGTACAGATCCACCGTGTCGAAACACGCTTCTGGACCAACCGTACCGAAAGCAGTCTCTCTCGCCTCCTGGTCGAGCCTTCCCTCCTGGTCGAGCTTTCCCTCCTGGACATCTCCACCTGCCAATTCTCTAAGATCTAGTATCGGGTCGCTCGGCTTGTGCACTGCTTCCGCGCATGCCGACAACTGACTGGCTTCCCGCTCCAAGTAATCCAGAACACATTCCAAATGCACAAGCGAATCCGTAATCAGAAACACATCTTCATGACCACACGCACAACTAGGAAGTTCCACACGATTCCAGATAGACCGGATCAACGGACTCGACCGAATCAACGGGCTTAACCAGGAGGACATCTCACAGGTCTACTTGCCAACAACCCAATACCCTCTAGTCACTCTCTCTACCCTCTAGTCACACAACTAGTGAAACCTACCCCGAGTAGCTGTTTTTTTTTGCTCTATCTAGCTATCTACGCGTACTATCTGAAATGCCCACCGTCTGAGACGTGTGTTCCGATGCTCGAAGTCTTTTAATGGCTGATCCGGGGTCCACTGACAATCGCTTTCGATTCCAACTCGGCCAGGCCAGCAGAATAGGCGCGAACGGGGCACTTTGAGACGCCAGGTAGGATCCCTCGGCCAACAACTGCAGCAGGGTGCCGAAGCAAATAGCAGCCTGCCACCGTTTAACGTCCGTAGGTAACACACAGCGCCAGTCCACCGGGGCTGCCACCCGTTCCAACAAGGCGTCCAATACACTAAAGACGCTCATTCGTCAAAGGGAGGGAGAGAGAAGGATGGACCGAGAGGGGAGACAGAAGGAGGAAGGAAATGGGTCTTACGATTTGAGAGCTTGCGCCTTTTTATTGGATCCTACCGACGACAACAGCCTTTGTCTCTCGTAATGCTCGGTCGGCGGAACGGAGGAGCACTCAAGACCTTGCCACGGTGTACTAACTTCACATCTGCCGTCGGTAGTTCTCTCCTCCTCATTGCCCGCAACTGGCTCCATTCTGGACTCAAGTGCAGTCTCGACCAGTTCAGGTTCGACCAGGTCAGGTTCGACCAGCACAGGTTCGACCAGCCCAGGTTCGACCGCGGGGACTCTCTCTCCTGCAGCGGCCGGGTCGCGGACCACGTGGTCTGCCGGCCAGCGGCCAGAAGTGCTGTGCGGCTCCTCTTCTTCTTCGATCACCGAAAGCGGGGGGATGACATCGTCCACACTTGTCTGGAGTGTTAGTCGTTCTCGCTGCACAAAAGCGTCGACGATTACGGACCGCGGGCGATTGAGGAAGGCCGCTATCTCCCGCCAGAAGGACGGGTTCTCCCTCACGGGTGCCTGATCGGGTTGCTTGCAACGCTTCCTCTGCAGATGCAAGTCCGAGTCTACAGTCGGGAACCCGCCAGTGGAGGACCCTCCAACGGAGGACCCGCTAAGGATGAACGACTGATGGTTCCCTAAGTAGTTAATGTCTGCGTCGCGTTTCGCAGCCTGTCCGTAGGCCCACAACGTCTTGACCACCCCGGACCGGGCTTTGCTAGGCTTCTTACCGAGCCGCGCATCTATCCGTAGGTCCGGCCTCGCCGCCGACCTCTCGTGCATGTGCACCGTGATGCTGGCCGGAGGCTGAGGCGGTGTGCGCATCCCCGCAACTGAATCAATCGTCGGCGTCAGGTACCCTGCCCGGTCGCGCCCGCGTTCCCGCATGTAGACGGTCTGTTCCGTTCCCAGCCGCCCCGTTCCCTCCAGCCTCTCCGTTCCCCGTGGGCTTGCGGACTGCGCCGAGGGGGTCAGCCGGGCTTTGGAGCCTGTTCCCCAATTAACGCTGGGCGGAGCATTTTCTTGGTCAGGATGGTTGGACTGGAAGTCCTCCGCATGGTTGGACCGGAATTCCTCCGCATGGTTGGGCCGGAATTCCTCCGGAAGGTTGGACCGGAAGTCCTCGACCGTGGCCAGATTCGCAGCTGCTGAGTCCGCGCCGGCGCGGGCCGTAGCTACGGGGTCCGCGGCGATGTTCCTCAGAACGTTCGGGCGCGCCTCGGCCGTCCAGCGCGCCACTTCCGGAAAGCCAAAGAAGGACTCGTCCGCCTCGTCCACCTCAAGTGGCGCGTCAGTGGCCCCTAACAGCGACCTCACTCCCTGACTCAGCTCAACCCCCTGACCCAGGCCTTGCTGTACCATCAAGTCCACTTTGGCCAGGCTTTCGGCGAAACCTGGATCAGCCAGCCAACTCATGTCCGTCGTCATCTTAACGCGGACCCCCGGCGCCCTCGCCGCCGCCAGTGGTGAAGGACCCGGCAGCGCCAACTGTGAACTCGGTACTGCCTCCAAACATGTTTCCGCACCACGCTTCCGACCCTTACGCTTCCTCCGACTTTTGAATACCGGGTCCTCCACCTCCTCCTCACTCACCGACTCCGAACGCACTCGAAACAACTCCTCATGCTTCTGAACTAGCTAAACAAACATCTATTGCTCCCACACCTCCATCCCGGGCCACCACCTCCCATCCGCGCCGTTACCTTCAGGATCAATTCCTTCACCCGCGATTCGAGGTCTTTGTAGTTCGAGGACACGATCTTCACCAACCCTGCCACGAACAAACCCGCGGTCCGCGGACATGTCCGCACTCTGCTCAACCACTCCTGCACCTCTTGGTCGCTCTCTTGTGTGCTGCTGTCGACCACCGCCACGCACACTCTCGCCAACGAGTCGAGGTCCAACGCGCTCACTCGGCTACCCTGCGCCACCGACCAGGCATGGTCAAAGGACTCTGCAACACACACACAGCCGTGTCCCTGCCCCCCCTGTCCCCCGTATGGCCCTGCCTGCACTTCCCGTGCGTGAAATTCTGAAACCCTGATGAGGGTTTACCTTTAAGCAGGTGCATTGCAAAATGTTAGGCACAGAAAAGCATTATGTCTGGGTCCGAGGTCTGGTGGGGGACATGACTGGAAAGTTGAATATTTCTACCAGGTCGTCGTCTGCCCTCTTGCGGGTGTAAATCCCGGGAGTTCTCCAGCAGGCGGGAGGCCTTCTTTGCGGCGAGACCAGCGCCAAAAGCGTCTCTCGACCAGCGGACATCTTCGCATTCTCGAGTTCATCATCCACCCTCAACGACGGACCCAAAAGGGGCGCAGTCGCCAGCGGAGCCGTCATCCGGGGAACACCCGCCCCGGCAGGGGGTCCTCCTTTCGCTTCACTATTGCTGCTCTCGTAAGCAGCACGCAGGGGCTCCAACTCCAGCACTATCGGTTGTGAGACAGCGCATTGAACGTCGTCATTCATGGCCAGAACGACCTTGGACGCGCCTGGGTACGTCAGAGACACCCTTACTCTCTCGCTGACGTCAAGAGTCACCGTACGAAGCATACTTAGTTAGGTTTTTCATCGCACAGTAGTTTTCTCACCGCAAGCAATGAACCCCGGCGGTAATGACCGACCGCTCCAAGAAGTTTTGCTCGTCCCTAAAAGAAGCAAAGCATTTCAGCCAGTCCCCCCCACCATGGATGGACCCACATGATTCGACCCAACCCGAGATCGGGTCACGGCTCAACGAGACCGTGCTTGCACCACCAAAGGCTACGCAGGCACGCCTCTCGCGCGCGAACGAAAATCCGACTTACATAAGTGCAATGGTAACGGCAGGACAAACGTCATTTTCATAATCTCGGTAGAGAGTTGGGTCTCAACCGCCATGACGCTTTTCCGAACGATTTCTCGAATCAATTTTCGGGCCTTGCGCAAACGCTCAGTAGCTGCTTCGATAGTGGCTATCTGTGGAATTTTGAGCGTGACGGCTGCTTCCTCCTCTTTCAGGGTATCAATGATCTCGGCACAGTTCTGCTTGTAGGCCTTGCATGCCTTCCGAATTTTTTTCAAGATCTTCCGGACCTTGCGCAAATTCAGGAACGATGTCAAACCACCATCTACTAGCGCAGCCAAATCTCGATCCACCGGAGCCGGTTTCCAGTACGGCAAAGCGAGGAAAGACGCGATCCCAGTGTCCAGGCAGTCCAGCATCTCTGTTATACTCGATCGCAGAGTGGCCGACCGCATCTGTCGCTTCCAAATATGCAGAAGCATGAACGGCAGTGTGTACGACACCACCGGCTTCCAGTAGACAGCAATCCCGGCTAATATGGGTGATGCCGACCGAGATAGCGTAGACTCCGCATCGCCAGTCGCCAACGTCAGCACCCCGGAAACGGGATTCTCGATGACATCTTCTGCCGCAGCCTTTATGTACGCTCGGACAACTCGTTGGAATGCGTGCGAGACAGACGCCGTCATGAAATGCAGACGCTGACAGCTTTCGCTACGGTGCAGTTCATGATCCAAACGAGCTCCTCGTCCAGATCCAGGTGCGCTTGACAGCGCTTCTTCATTTTCCGCACACGTGTGCGACAGCTTTTTAGAGGGCGCATAAACTAAAACGAGACTGTGATTTTCTCCGTGCAACCTGTAGTCCAGGTCTTGAAGCCACGGACTAGCAGCAATGCATTTTTTTACTGCCTGCTGAACACATCGAGACATGTGTCTGCCCATGTTATCTCGGTCCCCTGCTGTCTTGGAAAGCTTGGATCTGGATTTCGCCCGCCAGAGTAGCGTGAGAGTATGACACTTTGGTGCATTTGCGTTCAACCAGGAGTTCACTCGGTCAAGTTCCGAGGTCAGACCAACAGCGTTCTCAATTCTCCACGGATTTGCTGTGTCCAATTTTATCTTGGAAAGCTTTAGCTCCGTTGTACAACAATATATGACATTCGCCACGGCCTCATGTCTGTCAACGGTTGGCACTTCCTTCCCCCGAACCTCCCTCCCTGGCCTTCTCGCGCTGGCAGGGGAGTTGCTTGCTGGGGAATGACTTCCCAGGGAGTGCCAGGCGTTTACATCGCTGCTATTAGTCCGGGAGGACGGACAGGGCCGAGCAGCAAACGTGACGGAACTCTTCGCCGGAGACGTATTGACAGGACTGTGGACATCAGCACCCAGCTCGCACTCCACGCGGTAGGAATTATATCTGATGGCAGTAGCACACAGGGCGGCTCCTCTACTTTTAAAGCATAAATAGCTCCTCAAACAAGCCTTGGCTTGCTGAGCCATCTGCAAGTCGGTGAGTTGCGAACCGGTGGTGGGCGACTCCGCTAACCGTGGCTCCTGTGGAGAACGGTACCAGTCCATCAGCAAACCAGAGGTAGACCTAGTGCCTAATACGTAAGCATCTAGCATGCTGGCCAACGGACAGTGTATGGAACCGGCCACATTCAGGGTGTACAAGCATACCGTGGGTTCCGGCAAGGATAGCGGCGGTGAGGTCAACAAAGGGACAGGCAACTTTTCAGAGGGTCTTTCAGGCAGTTTTTCGCACAGCCTTTCGGAGGGCACCTGAAGGGCCCTTTGCAGTTCCTCCACAGCCCAAGAGCTGCCGAACTCGTCCAGACAGGATACGTCAAGATGTTCACTAGCTACCTCAACTGACCTATACACGTCCCTTCCATATGCTTTGATTTCACGCTCCATAGAGCAACTCGCGCCGATGACCAGGTCGTCTTCGCTAGCCCAGCTGGAGGAACCGGCTTCCTTTCGCTTCTTCGGGAGACCGCCGTCGCCTGAAAGCCTCCGCTTCCGAATCTCCGCATGGACTTGAGCCTCGCCGGCTTCTGAGATGTTTTCTCCATCCACCGCTGACCCGGCAGGTCGCGAACTGCTGCCGTCTAACTCCAACTCCGGGTCTGCCCGAGAGGCCAGTGACGGGCTGGCCGCCGCTCGGTCGCCCAACAGAGAATGCCTGCCCCTGCCGGAGTCGAACCTCTCGGTCGTAAGCGGGCCTTGCTTATTTCCCGCATCGTGTCCCTCAAGCGTGCTGCAGGCAAAGCTGCTTCGCGACGCCGAGAAATTTCGGGGCAAAGGATCAACGGCGCTTGAGAGTATTGGCGTTGGAAGTTTCCTCTTCAGTCTTCCACCTGCGCTTGACAACTCCGGAGCCAGCCAGGAAGAGACCGGGGGATGCGGAGTAGAGCTTATATCCGAAGGAGGAAACCCGGAAGGAGGAAACCCGGAAGGAGGAAACCCGGAAGGAGGAAACCCGGAAGGAGGAAGCCCGGAAGGAGGAAACCCCGATGACGGGAAGCGTTCCGTAGTTCTGCCGGGGTGGGCCCTAATGTTCGTCCTGGGGGTCGTGGACCCGCCAAACATCGATGAGCCGCGTCCATTGGATGAGTTGAGACTAATCGAATTACGACGGACGGTATTGTGGCGTCGAACTACGGAGTCGTCAAGATCGGATGTTGTAGATAAACGGGGGTCCAAAAGTCGCAGTCTACCACCGGAGTGGCGGTTGATATTGCTTATGAGCTGTGGGTCTGTGGTATGCGACGTGATGGTAGGTGCGACGGCCTGAGATACTTCTACGTAATTGTTGTTGTCTGTTTGGTTGGTGGGTAGAATTGTGGCGTTGACAAGGCTGCAGAAGTTGTTTATGGATTTTGGGTTGTTGAGTAGGAAGAGTCTTCCGAAGGTTGCTAGGGGGATCCTGGAGTTCTGTCGTCTGATCGAGTCGCAAGCGACTTTCCCTAGTAGTCTGACTCGAGCGAGGTCGTTGTATTTGTTAAGTAGAATGGCGAGTAGTGGAGGTGCTTGTGGAGTGAACTTGAAGAAGCGTGTTTCGTTCCCACCGTAAAAGGCGTTTACGGCGGCCGTGGCAAGACGAACCAAAGGGTTTTGCTTGAAGGAGTCTGGTACCTTGAACATTACGTGAAGAGCCGAGGAGGAGTCCTGGGAGGAGAGACATAGGAGGATTCGGTAGCACCAGAATTCGGCTTCAAAAGGCGACTCGTATACGAGGATGTCCTTTAATTCCTGTAATCTATGGTCGTCGAGATTGGACTGCAGTGCGGAACTGACTGGCCATTCGTGCTTCGATGGCGAATTCCTTAACGTCTCTCGAACAGCCTCGTAGGAAGCCATCAGTTTATCCAGACATGTGGAGAGAAGATTATTGTTCTGCACAGATGTAAACTCTGGGTCATCTGCTAACAGTTCTTCGGCCAGAATGAGCAACCGACAACTTATCTCCAGTACCTCAATATTGCCTTGATGAGTGGGAGAATGTTGAATAGTTAGATCCTGCCACAGACCTCGAAATCTGTCGCGAAGAAAGTTGTAGACATCTAAGAAGCGGTATTTGCGGCCCTGCTGATATAGCCAGATGGGGGTTGCATCTGGGTCGTCTGCCGAGCCGTGTAACTTTAAACACATATCCACAGTCCGTCGACACCATACCACGGAACGCGTTTCGGTCGGTTTGAAGGTCTTAGATGCATCCGAACGTTGAAAGGATTTAACCGCCAAATGAACATTCACATACCGACCCTCTATGTCTCGATCGTTAGCAATACGCTCCAAATCGTTGGTCGTCGATGTCAATTGCTTATCCACCATCTCCACCGCCGTACACATCCCCAACAGCCCTCCCACGAACTGGCCACCACCTACTCCAGCTAGACCCTCCAACGTCTGCACGGAATTCAACACTCTCTCCCATGTGTTGTCATTACTCCGAGACAGTAAACGATGTTCCTCCCTTCCAAATAACTGCCCAAAAGGCGGGATTTCGGACCCCACTGGCTCAAGCAACTGACTCCTCAACCCCCCATCCTTGCTCATTTTTAATCGTCCATACCCACAACCACCCACAAAAATCACACCGCCTGCTTGCTCAGTCCACCACTCGTTTACCCTAACCGCCTTTTCGCTGCGTCTTTTTACTCACTGCGTCTCCCCACCCACTATCCTTTGACTCATCAAGAAATTCGATTCTATTCTATGCTACAAAAACTTAAGCCTTGCTGTACAACATTTTTTCCGAGGGGTCCCTACTCTTTCAGTGCCCTCGATGTACCGCACTACAACAGGACCGACATCTTGTTCAAGAAACTCTCTGTCTTCTCTGCCTCTCTGTCTTTTCTGTCTCTCTGTCTTCTCTGTCTTCTCTGCCAATGTTGACGAATTGGGTCGATCGATGTCTTCCGGTCTGTCAGTAGACACGGTCGGTTGACGCTTGAGCGAATGGTTCCGCTCCGGAGCCGCGGTAGGCAGCGGTAGAGAGCAGCGGTAGACGCGCTCGGTATAGTCTCATTTATGACCGGGGCACCGCCGGGTCCTCGAGTTGTACCCTGGGAACCACGACCCTCTTGGCCTCAGTTTCGGCATCGGCTTCAGTTTCATCCTCTCCTGCCGTGACCAAACCTTGGGCTACCAAGCTCTCAATTTGCTTCATCGAAACGGGTGCTCCTGAAGCAATGCTTGCTGCCAGTTGCTGCAGTTCCGCCGAGCTTCCTTCACCGGCAAGCTGCTGCATAAGCCCTTCGAGCATCTCCGGTGAGTACTCCTCGTCCGTCTCCTCGTCCGTATCCTCTTCGCTGTACAGCTCGTCACTGCTCAACTCCTCGCTGTCGAACTCCTCATCGCTCTCTTCCGTCCCGACATCCTCCGCCTCGACAATGTCCGCTTCGCCGACCGCAGGCGTGGCCTGCGCAGAAGAAGCAGGTTTCGCCGACGCGTCAGGTTTCGCCGACGCGTCATTTCCTTCCTCCTTAACACCAGCTTCCTCCTCGGCAGGTGCCACTGTGGCGGCAGCCTTTACGACCGTGGTAGGAACGGCAGGAGCAGACTCGGTGGCGGGCGCCACGGTGGAGGCCGTAGTAACCGCAGGGGTGGTAGGAGTAGTCGCAGCCACGGGGGCCTCAGCGACCGGCGCAGGGGTGGGAGTCGAGGTCACAGCGGCGGGAGTGGTAGGCGCAGCGGCGGTGGTCGTAGTCGTAGCTGCTGGGGCGGCAGCGGCGGGGGTCTCTGTTCCAGGAGCCACGGGGACGGCGGTGGCCGGGTCGACAATGGGGAAAACCTTGTCGGCGGCGTCTACGAGTTCCTTGGCGAGTTGGATGGCTAGCATGCGGGCCATGGCGATGTTCTGGGTGGTGGGACCTGCGGCGATCACTTGAGCGAGCTTTTTGGCAGTTTCGTAGTTCTCCAGGTGCTCCAACTCGGCAGCCAGCGCCTCTGGGAAGCGAGGGGAAGGGGCACCGCCGGCCAGCCGGGATGTGACAATCTGGACAATGGGTCCTTCAAGCATGGACTGAATCAACTGCAGAATATTCATATCGCCACCAGCCTCACCCCCTTGGTGCACCGCTCCGCCCTGGACGCCTGTCTGCGCATCCGCCGACTTCCGGCCTTCTGAAGAACAACAGCACGACAGGATCCTTTTGAACATAGTAATAATTTTGAACGAGAATAAAGCCGCTCACCCGCGGCAAAACTACCGACAGGACAATCCGTCCCAGGAACTAGCCACCTTGCGATTACTGTAGTTGATGTACTCGACCTAGCCCGTCGTACAAGTGACCTAGTTCGTTAGGCCACTATTAGGATAGATTGTTACCTAGATAGGCCGCCGCTCCAGAAGCAGGCATGCATTCCGAACCAACCTCCGATCGATCCATGCGCCAGTGGTTCGTAGGTTTGCTGCCAGCCAGGTCCTGCGGCTCCACGTTCTGCTTCTCCAGGCACTGATTTCTCGGGCACTGATTTAGCACATATTAATTCTTGAGGCTAATTATTCAGACCCAGAATCCTTCCCACCGCCGTTCTCCGTTCTGGGCCACCTCGTTCTCGGCTCCCACATCCTGGACCACCCCGTTCCGTTCTCCCACGTTTTGAGACGGCGCATCCCGACGTCCAGATGGCACCCACAAGTGCAGCAACCGTCCTTTACTGCCGCCGCCATTTACTTCCGAGGCGAGCGAGCTTCCGAGGCGAGCGAGCTTCCGAAGCGAGCGAGCGTTCCCTCCCCATCGTAGCTGAGAATTTTCAGTTGGACCAAGCCCGAGAGATTGGGGGAAAGTTTAAACCTCGAGTCTCTACCCTAAAAACTAATCAGCTATATTTCAGGTTTTATTCTTCCCTGTTCCCGTGCCCGTGATTCTTGCATGTCGATGCAGAACAATCCCATGCGGCCAGTCCCACGCCACGGCATACTGGAGTGCTCCGGAAACCGTCTACTCGATTTTTGACGCCTCATTTCCCGTGAGCGGCTCCAGAGCCTCGGGTCGAAATCTCGATACTCTCTGCTCAACCCGCACCTCTCTTTCCTCCAACTTTTGATGCACGGGCAGCGCCTGAACTGTCGTTCCAGCAGACTCCGTCTCAGCAGACTCCGTCTCAGCAGACTCCGTCTCAGCAGACTCCGTCTCAGCAGACTCTGTCTCAGCGGACTC